GCCCTTTAGCCAACTGTGTTAGGCTTGAATGTGGTGTGTAGCAGAAACTTGTTCAGCCTGAGTTCGAGTCGTTTTGGGGTTTAAAATGTAGCCCAACCTGTTGAGGTTTGGCATTATCTCACAAGACTATGATGATCAACCTTATCTCGAAAAGACCCATGTCCCCAGATCTAAAATTACATCTTCACGAGGTTTTCTATCAAGACTGAAAAGTGGAATTCTAAGTCTATTTAGGTGGAAGCGCATGCCCAGATATGCACTACCAACATGGACCCTATAGAAATGTGGTCTGATCTCTTGGAATGTCCCAAAACAACATGACTAGAATTTATTACGAGGGTTGAATATGCTTGCAAAAGCGGATTGCTCATAAGAAATACTGGAAGTTTTGAAGAAAAATTTAATTTCGAAAGAAAGGTTGGCCTGACGAGAGTCATGATGAGAAAAGCCGAGTATCCGTATTAAACCAAGTCCACGGTCGAGCACTGGGAAATATGATAAATACTATGGTAGAGGACTGCGGACAAAGTGCGCCCAACTAAGTCGCCTTGACAACAGGATCAAGTTTAGAAAATGAGGTCAACTCGCTTCTATCCATCGAAAGGAGGCTGCAACCAATGGCCATACAATCGTGGTCTACAGATATCTTATTAAACCAAAACCTTCGGAATAAATAAAAATGACTGACAATGTGAATTCCCATAATTGTGGAGATCTTTAGCAGTCTCGGCCACGGGAAGACGATTGGGAATTTTCTCTTATGTTGTCCTTCAGCTTGCCAATGATTGGTCGATTTGTCTGAATCTTGAAAGTGCCTGATTGGCCATTTGCTCGCAGTAAATCGTATAGGCCATCTGGTTGAGTCAAGACACAATCCACAAGGATCTGGGTACCAGCATACTGAAGGGTCAATCAAGAGGTGACAGCAACATGCCAGGATTTGGTTCTCTTGGAATGTTCTCTGTCCCGAGGGGAAAAACACACTCACCTCTTCATTTTGAGGGGAAGAAAGCGACAAATATTCGCTCATCCTCCGTATGATGAACCACTTGGATTATCGCACCAGGGACACGGTTGATGCGGGCTGTCTTTCTGCGAGCCACGCAGACGCCGACCCTTCGCCTTGGCCTCTGTCCACCTTCCTGACGTCTGCGAGGCGGACAACCCCGTTGCCTCACCAGACAGCGGCGACGAGTCGCCCCGACGGGGACTCTTTCAGTTGGCGGTATCCACGGGCCCTCGAGGCTCCGACAGTCTCGTCGCCAGCGGCCCCGTCTGGCCAACAAACTGACTCGTTGCCATCCGCGAGTCCAACAGCCCTGGTGACCAGCAGTGCTGTCTGCAACATAGTCAGTTGGCATCTGCGCAGCCAGTCTACGCCGGTACCATTGCCCATCTCGCTGCTGGACCGACTGAGTCGTCCGCTCGGGCAAGAGCTCGGCGTCAACGAGTTGACGGGAACAGAGGACGAGGCGAGCTCGAATCAGGTCGAGGCTGGT